GCATGCCTCAAAATGAGCGACAGTATCCACTTCTTTCAAACAATCCTCAGGAGGAAATAAAGTGGTAGATGTTTTCTGTTTACGAAGAGCAAGCAGAAGCCAGTGAGCAACCAAGTGAGCTTCAGCACTGCATGGGGGCAGATCCGGCTCAGAGGCACGGTGGGGCCGGCGCGGGCAGGGGGCACAGCCTCTTCCTCGGATGCTGCTCCGCAGCCGTCGGTGATCCTTTCCCCCCGCGTCTGAGTAGCGTGTCTGGGGGGGCGGCGGGGTGCTAACACGGAGGAGGGGGTTAGCGATCGCGAGGTCCTCGCAGGAAGCCCAGCTCACCGTCCCGGGCGGGCGCCCCAGCACCGAGGAGCAGGAGGTGAACCGGCCGGACACGTTGCCCTCAGTAGCTGGGGTCACGGAGCCGCATCGGGGAGGGGCGGCCTCATCTACAGACACAACTGTTTCTCCAAGCGTCAGACCCAGGGTCAGCTGTTTGTAAGGGCCACGCCAAGGGTGGCTTCCGGCTGTTTGCACAAGGGCTGGAGAGTCCAGGAGACAGGACTCAGGACCCTGCCCTGTCAGTCTGCCCCCAGGGACGGCCGTAGCAGGGCGCCCCTGCCGGAGACAGCACGGGGTCGCGGGAGTCCTGGGTGCCTCATTCCTCCTGCCCCAGCCGCCCCGACTCACAGCAGGGTAAGTGGGTGTCCCCGCCCCTAGTTGCTCAGCACTGTTCCTCGCTAATCGGGCTCTACGCTGCCCGTGATCACGCTTAGCAAAGACCAAGCACAGCAACAACGGAAGTACACAGTAATTTACAGGTAAATTTTGATGTTGCCTTAGATATTTCACTTCACTTCACTGCCTTAAGGGTATTTTCCTTGCTTAGCAGGTATGTTGACATGGAGAGCAAACTCTGTGGTTTACCTCAAGCTTGCTTAAACCTCAAAGAAAATAAACTCATTAAGACGTTAGATGAAGACTGATCAGAAAGCAGCCAACAGAAGCGTAAGGTAGCATCTTCACCTTCCCGGCGCCTTGGCATGATCTCCCGTTGGCTCTCACCTGCGCAGCTGGGCTCCAGAGCCAGCACCCCTGAAGGCGCAGCACAGACAGGGTGCCTGGTCCCCAGAAGACAGACAGCGCCGTCATGGACTCTGCAGGCCAGACACAGAGAGCCGGCTGGGAGCCTTCGCCTCCTGGCCTGAGGGCAAGGCACTGAGGCCCCAGCGCCAGACGCTGGCCTCTGAGGCACGCGGGAGAGCAGGCTCCAGGTTTGCTCTCGTCACTGCCACCTACCCACTTTGCACGCGACAGGACAGCCAGATGGTGAGAGCCTTCCGGCGGATGCCCCTGCACTGGCTTCCGGCTCCTCAGAACGGACCGCAGAGACTCTGGCCTGACTGCCGTGGCCCTACCGGCCACACACCTGTGTCCCCTGCTGACCACGCCAGCCCCCTCTCCCTCTGACCCGCTGGTCCCTCCCTCCACACCTCAGCATGGCGGTGGTCCCTCTCCCTCTGCCTGGAGCATCAGTTCCCTCAGCTCTCCAGCACGGCTTCTCCCTGTCAGTTAGATGTCAGCGTAAATGCGACCTCCGGGGCTGCCCTCGCCTGGCGTCCCGTCTGAGTCTGAAGAGGCTCTGACTGACCAACCAAGACGGGCCCCCAGAGTCCCATTTTCCACAAGGTCTAGTCCTTGGCCCAACCAGTGGCCTGAGTTAATGTTTAAAAGTCCTAGTAGGTCCACTGGTATCTGATGAGGTCTCCCCCAGCCTTGCTGTCCAGGCCGGTGTCCATCCGGTAACAAGAATCTCATCAGGCCAGTTTAGCCAGCCACCTGCCACCCTCTGCTTGTTATCTCCTCTCTGACCCTCATTCTATACCTTGCCTGTCAACCCAGGACTTCCTGGCATTGGGAGTTGAGCGCAGCTCGCTCCCCCACGGTAGTGATGCCCCCTGCCCCTGCCCCCAATGAGCATCTGGTTCTGTTTCTGTGTCTTGGCGGCCACCCAAACTCCTGCAATCCAATCACCCTTTTTTAACTGTCTGCACAGCGTTCCTGTGGCACTACTGTGCTGCTTGCTTTGTTCACGACCCGCTTCCTTCCAGAGGAATGGACTCTGGGAAAAGAGGGACACTGTCTCGTGATGACCACCTGGTTACCAGGGTGTACCTGCCCTGGCCGCGCCAAGCTCCATGAACCCGGCGGACACCATCACAAATTCTGTTACACGGCCGATCTAAGGGAGAGTGAGAATGCCCGCGAGGGAACCCTGACTGCTAACATACACATACGGTTTTTAAGAGGCAGCAAAGAAAGCAACAAATACTGAAAGCTATCCCCACTTGTGTCTTCTGCACCCTCCTTTTCCCTGTGCCCAGAAAAGAGAAAGAGAAAGAGAAAAAGAAAAAGACGGTCTGAGGAATTACACACACTTTTAGTTGGTTTCATCCAGGTCTCTGTGGGAGAAACCTTTTTTTTTTTTTTGCTGCCAATTCCCAGGTATTGATTCTGTGCCAAGAGAAAGCCCATGAAAAATAAAAATGCAACAAGCAAATTCTCACAGGGGAAAATTGTCAGAAACAGAATTTCCTTCCCTAACGTTCTAAAACCTGACAGATTTTAAGAAAACGAGCAAATGATAAAACGGACACCAAGGAGACCACTCAGGCGGCACATGACATCCAGCACAGAAACCAGGCCCCTCAGTCTTTCCCCTGCGTGGTCTGAAGCGGCCTCGATGAAGCCGAGTCAAGGCGGGGAGCTGGTCTCTGGGCACAGTGACCTTCCCCAGGGGCGGCCCCCGCTGCCCCACGCAAGGGCCACTCTCAGGTGGCTCAGGCAGCCATGATGGCAGCTGTCCCCGGACACACCTGCTGCCCCCTGCTGCTTACTTTTCCGTGACAGTCACTGCTGTGGCTGCAACCTTGCTGCTGCTTGTTAGCTAGTATCATGGGCTGAAATGTCCACCCGAGTGCACGTCCTCATCCTCACCCCAGGGCCTCAGTATTTGCAGGCAGAGTCTTTCCAGCACTAATCAAGTTAACATGGGGTCTTTAGAAGGCGTCGAGTCTAATCTTATCTGACTGGTGCCATCAGAAGTAGAAGAAAGTACCACAGAGACCGCACAGGGCCAGACCCCGTGAAGACACAGGGCCACGACGAGCAGCTCACGGCCAGGGCAGGGTCCGTGGCAGATGCCAACCCAGCGTGTCCTGGCTGCACGCCTGGGAAACCACGGCCCTCTGGTGAAGCCACCAGCTGCGGGACTTCGCTAAGGCTGTGCTCGGCGCACGACACACACAGAGTGGCCAGACTTGTATCAGAGCAGAGACCTGCGAAGAGGTTCTGTTCTCTTCCATTCTGTGCGTTGTTTTCTCTCCTAACTCGGTTCCTTCCTAGACAGTTGACCGTTCACGAACACTTCCGATTTCCTTAGTCGTGTCTATGCATTCACTGCACGACTTCATTCACTTCCCTCAGGAGGACGACATGGAAACTCCAGGGCAGGAATGGAAGTGGGATGGTATTATACATGAAAATAGAAACGATAAATCTGCTTTGTGGATTGATTTGCGATTCTACTGATGTCACCCCTCCACAAACTGCGTCTGCATCCCATGAAAGTCACAGCTGGGGCAGCAACATTTCCCCCAAGTAATCACAAGAACTGGATTCTGTGACAGTACTTTCCATTTTCAGAGGTGCGCGTGCATGCATTTGTGTGTCCCCCCATACTTTGCTCTGTTTTTTCCCATTCACCCATTTTTTTGTTTAAATTTTCATGCTACTTTATAATTCATAAGCTAAAGTAACCTCACTTGCTCCTAGAATAGAATCAACAAGGTAACATTTTTGCAGAACAGGTAAAAAACTTGACTGACTAAAATCACCACCTCAGCTTCTGTCTCCCCGTGCTCCCAAAGCAGCAAGCAGCCCTGCTCAGCCAACACTACAGCGTATGCAGACTTCAAGCAGATCCGCTCTGAGTGGTTTGTGAATCCTGAGCACTAGCACTGTGCCTCGCACCACTTCTGCACCACAAGGTCATTACATCTTAGCATACGAGAACAGTTACTTTTGGAAGGAGCTTTCAAGGTAATTTTTTGCTGTTGTTGTTAAGATTTATTTATTTATGCCAGCAACGGGGAGCCCAAAGTGAGAAACACACTCTATAAAAACTAGGTACAATGGCGTTTTTGGAAAGGTCACAGACACAGGAGAACGGGGGCAGTGCTCAGAGTATGGCAGGCTGGCGAGCGGTGACCCTGCACGCCCGGCCCGGCCGTCCCTGGGGGGCTGCGGGAGGTGTTCTCTGCTGGGATGGGGTATTGGGTACAGGCCAGAGGTGCAGGGGTGGTGAGAGGATTCACAGAGACAGGGGGGAGCAGAACAGGCAGGTCGATTAAGCACACTGCTGAGGGGAGCAGCTGCGGCCAGCCTGCAGTGCTGCGCTTACCCGCTGCGCCACCAGGGAGGGCCCACAGGTAATTTTCGTATTTGTTTCATATTTACCCTCACAAATGAGGTAAAGGACTATCATTTCCACTTGCGTAGGAGCCAGTGGAGGGGGAACCAAATTAGTGAAGATGGCAGATTCCAACACTTGCATTTAAAATAAAGCTAGTATTAGAAGATAACCAAGGATGATTCATGTTTCAAATTACACTCAGTCTTTCCACCAGTTGGTGTGTATTTAACGTTCTATTATTTTGCACTGTGCATTTGTGTATACACACACACACATGCACACACTCTGTATATGAATAAGAAACATCCATTATTGATTTCATTACCATAATTATCTCCAATCTTTTTAAAACATAAAAGCCTCTAATTTCCACAAACTTCGAGACACTCTGTGTATATATATATATTAAAGAACCAAATGCAACATAAGAAACAATGTTTGTAGTTGCAAATATTCTAGATTATTAAATTAACCTTTCCTCTGTGGCAAAACACACACGACTTTTAGCTAACATTTACAATCCCGTGAAAACATCTCTTACCGATATTGGGATGCTTCAAAAGACGGCAGATCCTAGCTTCCCTTTCCAGTTTCTGATGATCTATTTTTAAAAAGACAAAAAGTCACAATTGTTAGCAAAAAGAAACAAACAAACAAGGACAATCACAGCATACCAAAATGACCTAAATCCTTTACAGTTACTTAGCATTTGATTTTTTTAACTAGTTGAATTTCAAATTAAGTGAATAAAAGATGGTTTAACAAGCTAACTTTATTTTTCATTGACTGGAAACTTGCTAACGTGGGGAGTGAACTGAGACTTGGGCCGAGGAAGATGACGGCGACAGCAAGAAGCAATTATGGCCTTTCTCAGTTTTCCCTCCAGGATGCACTGCTCCAACTCAGGAAGCCCCGAGTCGGAGACCTTCCAGCTCTGGAGAACACCTCCCGCAGCCCCCCAGGGACGGCCGGGCAGGGCGTGCAGGGTCACCGCTCGCCAGCCTCCCATACTCTGAGCACTACCCCAGTTCTCCTGTGTCTTTTATGACCTCGCCTTTCGAAAAACGCCACCTTCTCTAGCTTTTACAGTGTTTCTCACTTCCGTCTGCCCACTGCTAGCTCATGACTTTGTTCGGGCTTCACCATCTCGGCCAGAACATCTTCCTCAGACTCACATCTGGGGGACACACCGTCTCAAAAGTGAACCCTTTAGTGATCACCAGGTCAAAGTGCTGTTGAATTTCTCTGCTAAAGAGTTATTATTATTTTTTTTGCTTTTTCCTTGATACTCGTAAGTACATGGAAAGACTTAATTCCATGAAAACATCTTGTTCTTCATCAAAATTTTGTTTACTGACAATTCCTGCCTGAACCAATATTTACTATGATAATAGCAATTTTGTTAATTTTTGATAATAGTGCTGATTTTTCTATCCATCACAGTAACATGTTTTTGTTTAAAAAATAAAATGCTGGTTTTTTTTAATAGAAAAACTAATGAGAACAGTGGTATTCTTTTATATTTTCACCCATAATATTTTGGATGTCTGGCTTAAGAAAGAACAGCTAACTCCTCATCCTCATAGTTGCTCTTATACTTAACTAATTTTCTGTTTTTTTTTTCCATTGGCTGGAAACTTGGTAAGGCCAAAGTCGAGAAATGAATTCAGACTTGAGTTGAGGAAAATGACAAAAGTGGCCAAGAAACAGTAATATTGCTTTGCTGGTTTGGGTGAAGTCAATGACTAAAACTCTGCTCTCGGAAGGAAATGTAGTTGGCAAAGGAGGAAATGTTATAATAACCTTTTACAGATGATACTGCATGTTATTTTTAAAACAGAGATGTTAATTTTGAACATTGAATTTTTTTTAAACATAATATAGTGCAACTATGCTTTTTTTTTTTTTTTTTTAAATAACATCTGTAGACTGTTTCTTTCAACTGAACTGGTCCCCACTGGGTGCTCAATGGCCGCCAACTGTAGGAAGACCTTGTATTTGGCTCCTGTTTGAAACCAACAACTACAGCCACTCACTGGTCTTGATTCAGGGCCTCTAGATTATTCTTTAATCTTATACTAAAGTTCAACAAGTGGTGGTTTCTGAAAGGTCAGTTGCCCTTTGAAGTCAAAAACATTATCAATCAACTTTATGAACCATCTCAAAGTGATGAACTTCTGTGTTGCCATCAATCAGCCCTGTTTATTATCCAGTATAATAAAGTTTTACTCTAGCTCAAAATCCATGGCTCTTTTTTGCACTTAGAATTATTTACCCGGGCAGAATGTTATACCATGATATATTGGTAATTTGGAGACTACTGTTTCATTATATACTTTTTTTCCCCCCAAATGCTGACACATTTCATTAGAAAGTCTCATAAAAATAACAAGTGTTAGTGCCACCATCTGATCTCATCACAACAATCTTCAGATTTGGAAGTCAGTCAAGTTTTCATGGACAGACACAAATTTTTCAAAATTTTACTTTTTGTTTGAGAGCTTGAGTTGTTCATTAGAAATAAATGCTGTTAATTGTTTCCCTTGAAGCAAGACTTACTTTGTTCATTTTTTTTTGAGAAAACATCTATCAAAAACCTAAGTCTGCTCATATTTCTCATTTTTTCAAGTAAAAATGGTATCTCCTGCAGGAAGAGTGAGTTTCACTTCCAACTCAAGCAACTGCACAGCTACTTTCCTGCTTCACCACCTCAGACTTCAATATGGCTTAGGAACCACCCATGTCATCATACAGACTGTTGTAAAGATGTGAGATCAAAGATCAAAGATCAAGATTCAGTAAGTTGCATTTTAATTGGTTCATCAAGGGCGATCTTATGTGAGATGAGATGTGTTTTCTTCTATGACTGCCTGATGCTGAAAAACACAAAAATGAACTGAGCAGCATGATACACTGCTTTGATTCATGCCAAGGAACCAGCATTATTTACTTCTTACTGGCAAAGTATGTCTCCCACTATTTCTTTTGTACTGTAAGTACAAATACACACATACCAAACAGTGTCTTAGATTAAAAATGGTCTTAACCAACCAAAGAGGGCTTAGGGGACGCCTGGGTCCACAGGCCAACTTTTGAGAAACATTAATATACTATAAAGAAGTGTTTCAAGTACTTTTGGTGGTTTTTCTTCTAATTTTGGATAATATTTAAAACTTCTCTAGTGCCATTAATAGTGCAAAGAAAGAAAATTTTAAAGAGCCAGAACATCACTGCACAGGAGCTAAATGTATATCCATTGTATCTGAATTGCCAAATAAACAGTCTCTGGCTTGCCCTTATCTATTTGAACAAGTTGCTCAAATAAATAGAACTTCGTCATCCCCTTTATCTCTTTAACAGCTCTTCATTGTTAAGACAAAGCGTTTCTAGACTATTCTTACTTAGGACTATACAGGGAGAAAACATTGCAGATTTCAGAAGCGCAGCTGACATTTTAAACACTATGCAAAGTATCACATGTAAAATATATGAGAAGAGTGCTTATAGGACTTCCAATTTTGTTATGGAGATGGGAATTGGAAATCACAGGTATTCTGTTGCAAAAAGTTATGTTCAAATAAAGAAGGGCCCTCCCTGGTGGTGCAACCATGGAGTGCGAGGCAGCCCCTGCAGCGTGAGTTCGATCTGCCGCCAGGGAGGTGACCCACATGACGCGGCAGACCTCTCCTGATCCGCAGGCTGCTCCCTCAGCATTGTACCTCCTCGATCTGCCTGTTCTACTTCTTGCCCTGCCTCTCATGAATCCCCTCACCACCCCTGCACCTCTGGCCTGTACCCCAGTTCTGCATGCATAAATACATTTTAAAAAAAAAAGAAGAAGAATGAAGCAGCCACACTGACAGTAAGCGAGAGAGAATTGCAACTAGAGGGTGAAACATAATCACAGAATTTTGTTTAGCCTCTTCTTTTGAGCTCACCTGTTTCCCCATATAGCATAGATGCTGAAGGCCTGATTCCCAGTACTCTAGAATGGAATGTATTTAGCCACAACATCTTCAAAGTAATTAAGTTCAAGTAACTAATTAAATTGAAGCAGAGTCATTCGTGTGGATCCTAATCCAGTATGACGGGGGGTATGAAGAGATTAGGGCACTGACATGCAAGAAATCACAAAGACAAGAGGGCTATTTACAAGCTAAGGAGACCACAGAACATGACAGCCCTGCCCACACCTCGCTCTCAGACTGGCCGTCTGCGGCATCTGAAGAACACCTGTCTGCTGCCTCAGCCCCGCCTGTGCTATTGCGACAGCAGCCCTGATTCACTCCCCACCTCTGTGTTAGACTTCGCTTGCTTGCCAGCAAGTTGCCACACACTAAAGACTCCCACAGCATACATTCAACTACAGTTTGGGGGGTCAGGAACCGAAGCCTCGTTGAACTGAGGTTTTGCCACAGGGTCTCTCAGTGGGCTGCAATGAAGCTTAGCAGTCAGGGCTGGGTCTCGCCCATAGACCTGACTGGGGACGTGCTAACAAGCACACATGGCTGGTGGAGGCATTCTCCTCAAGAATGGCAGAGCTGAGAGGCTTAGCTCCAAGCGGCTGCCGGCTGGGGTTCTGGGAATCTGTGCCACGTGCCTCTTGGGGAACCTCTCTGAAGCCTCCACTGGAAAGAGCCTGCAAGCGAAAGCGATGTCCTGACCTAGGCTCAGCACACCGAGGCCGGCCATAGGTAACTGGCTAGAAGTGAGCTTCTACAAAGGCCCACTATAACAGGAGGGGGCTGGCTCTACAAGGGTAGGACCATAGGGAGGCCGGGCTTGGAGTCTGATGCCACAAACAATGTTTTCAAGAGCGCTCTGTGAGAAGCTCTGCTAACTTTTCCTTCTGTGAGATCACATAAGTTAGTGATCTCCAGTGAATCACCCAGCGCTCTGAACACTCCCATCGGGGCATGTTTTGACATCTCAGATATGATGACAGAACTGAAGTTTTCATGAAAACCAGAATTTAGTAATAATGAACATGCCTGTCACTCAATGTGCTTCCCATTCAAAATCAAGTTCACAACTTTCCTTTCCAGGCAGTAGGAAGGTGAGGAGGAGTGATTAGGTGTCTATTATTGTCAAAAGCACATTTCTTTATTTATCCTGCTGAAGATATCAGTTAGTATTACATTAAAATTCCCTTTACTTTTAATTCAGTTAGCCAAAAAAAAAAAAAAGATACATCCTTCCTCACAATTCCCAGCTCTTCTAACTATCCTGGATGAAAGGCACAGCATTGATAACACTGTGACCAAATGAAGATGTTTCATTGCCCACATGCCCTGCAGTGAGCAACTTATAGTCACTTGGCTTTGCTCTTCCTTTGAAACTCAAGGAAATCACAGGTATTCTGTGATTCTTTGAAACTCAAATCCATTCTGCTAGGGGAATATAAATAAATCCCTCAGGCGGTCATCTCGTTGGGCCTGACAAGTTGTGAGCTGTCAGCGGAACAGGGTTGGAGACCCACATATCAATATGGCCCGAAGGAAAAATCTCATATCGTTCAGAATCAATGAGTAGAGAAGAATATTACCTAGCACAGAGACCTCTGGATTTTAAAACTGCTTTTGGGAAACTTGAGCAATCATA